GGGTGTGGGGCAGGAGTGGGTGGAGGCCGCCCCGTCCCCCGGCTTCCCAGGGAAGGGGAACCTCGGCTTTGCCTCCTTCCCACTCGGATCTAGCAGCTTGTCCCGGCCCCGCATAAGCACCGTCCGTGTGTTTCCAGACGGCTGGAGGGTAGGGCCATGGGTCGAGCCATGAACCCCAAATGGAGCGAGATGAGGCTTGCTCCGCGGGGACCTGATGGTCAGAGCGGACGGGGTCCAGCAGGCCGCCGGGCATTGACGGAGCGCTGGACTGCAGTCCAGAGGCTCCGCCCACCCTGGCCTCTCCGCAAGCCTCCGTTTCCCTTCTGCCGAGTGATAATTAACATTCTGCCTTTCCCCCCAGGGTTGGTGAGGGGTCGAGGGAGACAGTGGCTAGAGGAGTGCCCCGTTCACTGCACACGTGGCTCTAGGAGCACTTGGTTAACTTCCGACGTGAGTTCAGATTCCTAAGGGTGTCGGACACGCCCAGGTCTGCGCTGAGGTCTGACATGTGGGAACTTGAAGATTTGGTACCTGCTTTTTTTTAAATATATTTTTATTGATTTCAGAGAGAGGACGGGAGAGGGGGAGAGAGAGACACACACACACCCCAATGATGAGAGTCATCGATGGGCTGCCTCCTGCACGCCCCCTACTGGGGATCAAGCCCAAAACCCAGGCTTGTGCCCTGACTCTGGGGATCAAACCGAGATCTCCCGGATCATAGGTCGATGGTCAACCGCTGAACCACGCTGGCCGGGCATGGAACCTGCTCTTAAGTCCAATTTTGCTAACACACAGGAAACATTTGGCAAGTCGTGGCCTTGCCTCGGGGGAAGAGAGCAATCCGGGGGAGCTTCAGGGCAGCTTAACTTCAGTGAGGCCTGGCTGCTGATTGAGATAAGGCTCTGGTGGCCAGGAGTCGGGTGGCATTTGGGTAGGCAGCGGCTGTGTGGCCAAGGGTTTGGTGTGGGAGGCACTGAGGAGAGCCGCTGGCCAGAGCAGAGTGCAGGTGGAAGGAGGCAGGATAAGCAGGCTGGCCTAGGTGCCATCGTGGGACAGGTTAGGGAGCCCTCAGGGTCCACAGAAGAGTTGGACTTGCTGGGACTCAATGCTGTGGGCAGTAGGGAGCCATGGAAGGCTCTTGGGCAGAGAAATGACCACTGGACCCTAGGAAAGCAAAACCTGTTCTTATGGAGCCGGGCTGGAGTGTGCAGGGAGCTGGTGCAAGTGCCTCCTATATGCGGGCGAGCTTCTGTGTTGTGACCCCGGCCACGTGTGTGCTTCCGTGTGCCCAGTGGCTGCATGCCCCCGATCCGTGCTGCACGTGCCAGCCAGGGCGGGTGCTGGGCAGTGTTCGGCGGGGGAGGCGTATGCGTGTTGTTTGTGAGCATGTGTGTCAGCGTGTGCATGCGGGGCCTCACAGCACTGTGTGCACGCCCGTGCGTGTGCGTGTGCGTGCCCTCCACCCCGAGGCCGCCCTGTCCGTGCGTGTGAACTGCCATGTTGATTTCGTGCTGTCTTTCAGAATCACTATCAGTGACCCCTGAGGAGCGTCAGCCACGGTAGGTACTTGCCTCTCAGCCTGCTGCATGAGCGGTGTGTCTGGCCCCTCCTGCACCAGCTCCACACCGGGGGGCACGCCTGGGACTTCAGAGCCAGGCCCCCCGCCCTCCCCTTCTGCAGCTCCAGACTTATTCTGTCATCTTCTGTCCTCCCTGCCGGCTGGCTCTCTCCTCACCTTTCTCAGCCAGCCTCGGGACTCAGTGCCACTGCCCGGGATCTCCATGGCTGAGCCTGGGGAGCTCTTGGGACAGGCTCCGCACCCAAACTGGCAGACATGGGGGCTCTCCAGAGCTGCCAGAGGGCAGAGAGCTCGTGGTTTAGGGTGTAGGGGCAGGGAGCTTGGAGGAGGTTGTGTGTGGCTCTGGACTCAGGCAGCCAGAGGCCTTGGGTCTTCACCCTGGGGGTGCCGTATTCATCCCCCAGCCTGAGCCATGCTGCTGGGGCAGGGCAGCCAGCTGGCAGCCAGCTTGGAGCGCTAGGAACCGAGTCCACGATAGGGCAGAGGCGGTCAGAGTCCCACCTCTGATAAGCAGCGACCTGGGGCGAAGGCTCTGGTTGTTTGATGATTTCTGGAAGCCTGAGGGTCCTGTCCACACCGTCAGCCCAGAACACACCTCACAGGCGAGGAGGGGTCCCACAGCCCCTCGCCCTCCCTCCTTGGCGGCATGGCCACACCTGCTGGTGCACCACCGAAGGCAGCGTTCCCAGCCCCAGGTGGCGCACCGCAGCCAGCCCGTGGGTGCATAGACCCGGGCCTGCTGCTCCTAGAGGTGGCCGACACGTCCCAGCCAAGGGGATGGATGGCAGTGTCCGCTGACCTGGGCACATCAGCTCTCTGAGCTCCGCCCGGCTGGGCTGCAGAACTCGCCCCCGAAGCCGAACCCACCACCACTCTGTCCCTGCCGCTGACTCTCCTTCTGCTTTTCCCCAGCAGGAAGGGCCCAGCCTCACCTACGCGACCTGCGGTCCCCCGACCACCTGAGGCTCCCCTCTTAGACTTATAAGCCTGTGGCCACTGGCATCCGGCTGCCTGTGCTCCCTGCCTCCCCAGGGCCCCTTCGAGGACTCCTGGGCTTCCTGCCCACCCAGAGGGGCCTGCAGTGCTCCCTCCAGCCATCCTTTACGCCCTGCCCTCCTGGTTCAAACAGTGTTCTCTCTCCTGTCTTTCCCGTCAGGCCTGGTGGCCGTTGCTTGGGGCTCAGAGCCCCATACTCCCTGAGGCTAGTGGTGGCCAGGGCCGGTGGGTTGAAGGATAGGAGGACCTCAGAAGGAAGGCAGAGGGGGCTGAGCATGTGTCTGGAGCTGTGGGTGCACTGCCTGGTGGTGTGTGAGAGACCAGCGTGCGTGGCAGGGGGAGGGCCACCCCAGCCCCCAGCCCAGCTCCCCATGAAGCTCT